GTTCCTCGTCTTTGCTTTTCTTCCTGTGCCCATGTCAATGCGTTGCTGTCATTCCCTTGGTCTTTTGGATTTTAATGTTTCATTTCTAGATAAATGTAATTGTTTACCGCACCTTGGATTTTGAAAAAAAAAACCCAATAAATAATGGTTTAATAAATAACAATTTAATGACTACAAATCTAACAGTGGAAAAAATAAAGTACAGTAACGGAAGGAAATGCATCAAAGATTTATATGCCATAGAGGGCGCAATGCCAAACTGTTTAGTTTTTTTTTTGTCGAGATGTCGATCATCTTTTCGTCGCGCGACCTGACTGCTAGCTGTCAAACTTTTTTCTGCGAGCAGCAGTTCACATCTTCATTTAAACGCCACCGATTTCTTAACACTACAGTGATGTCAGGAAGGTAACAATTATTCAGTTGACTAGTAGGCAAAGAACTTGAATCAATTGGACATTACCATCATCATCAAGTAAGTAAACATTTTAAGAAAAAGGTCTTGAAATATGTTGTGCATGTAGATCCTGAATCTAGGCCCTAGGCACTATCATCAAAGGAGTACCACCCGTAATCTTGGAGGAGGCTCATACCACCTCCCTTGCATCAGCTCACGATGGATTTCTCGGTCGTCTGTGACGTGTACTCATAATTGTTAGTTTGTTTCGTGTTTAACATGGATTTTGTGATGGCAATATTATTATTCATTGATATTTCCCTACAATTTATGATTGCGTTACTAATTTCAGAGCGGTTCAAACGGAAAGTAAATTCTGACCAAGGAAGAAGACTTTCAACAATGATACTGAAAAAATAGACGAAATTTACAATGGGAGGCGGTTGCACGAAAGCCAGCGCCTTGCCTGTGGAGGAGAATGTGACGAGGTGGCGTGGACATGTTCTTTACGACAACGGTAGGAAGGAATTCTGTCATCTTTTTTTTCCTTCCTAAAGTATTTTATCATTTCTCCATCACATTTCATTCAAGTCTACCAATTAAGCCAGTGGAAGAGTCAGGTTGAGGTGGGATTATTTGGTAAATAGAGTTATATATACCAACTCCCTGGAATACAAGGGGCAGATTTAGTTACAAATCAATTTATGTAACTACAATACAATTCAGTTTCTTTTCCCCACAAAAAATTTCAAAGCTAAAAGTACTAAGACACCCCCCCCCCCCC